AAAAATGGGGTAATGGTGTGAACGTCGCGCAAGCTACTTCCACGTAAATTTCAAGATGTGGCCTGATGTCTTCTGACGCGCGCTTTCGTAACGTCGCATTCACTCCGAACGTGGCAACGATCACCAAACCTGACCGTTGTTTTTGTGACTACATTGACTCGCTTTGTATGACTTTATGACAGGGGTACCGATGGAGCGGGGTTCAGCACAGTCATCTTGAACAATACCCAAGTATAACCGCGTAACCCAATTCACTTTCAGTGAAATGGGTTTCAGACTAGGTGGAAAAATAGAAAAAAGAGAATTAAGAAAGGGACATCACGGTGGAATCAGAGGCAGAGTTCGGGATCCGGATAGTCGAGGCGTAACGTCAACACTGCCAGCCAGCACCGTTTCCGGCCGCACTAGAGGGTCGGCGATGGCGCGCTGACCGGCGCTCACCATCAACAGTGAAGACGGCGATCTCGCCGGTCACACTGTGCTGGCCGAAGTGCACGCCCGACACCAGCAGTAGCGTGTCGGTGGCGTTGAACTCTGAAAACTGGGTGTACTTCCAGGAGAAGACGCGCATGTCCCGGTAGTGGCGGATCCGCACCGGGTGGCCCGAGTCCCAGAGCTGTCCGCAGCCAGCACCGCCGGTCAGTGCAGCACGCGCTGGCCAGTGCCGGTGGGATGGGAGGGCACGGAGCGGCACCGATGGTGCTGATTTTGTTTCACAAATACAGGTCTGATTCAAGGCTGAATTAGACTAACACTGGATCCACATTATCTATCCACAGACGCCAGGCCATGGCCTCCGGTGGCCATCGCCTCAGTCACGCCCAGCCTTGGTTTCTGGTATTCCGTGGTCCCTTCAAGGAAAAGGACCTGGCTCCTGGATCCAACGGGTTCCTCATGAACGCCAGACACTAGAACGCATTGGTTCACACACACACGCACACACACACACACACACACACACACACGAGCATGTAAGTACACGCGCACATTACCTGATCATGAGTCTTGGTTTTCATTGGTTCATTCGTAGCCACCAGCTTCATTAAGAATATATGACAATGAGCTACAAAAGCAAAAATGTTGTTTGAACTGCAAGATACCATGTGTCTATTCTGCACTATTCATTTATCAAACATGCATAAACATAAAAGCCACGTAAGCGTACGCATTGGTTTAGGGAGCACATTACGGGTCAGCTCCTCGATCTTGATAGGCCCATTAACTCTACACTAGATATTGGCTCTCACTGGATGCACATAACAGTCTGGATCCTGCTTCCTGCCAAATCTTTCAGCCTGAATCTTGGCTATCGCTGAACCCCTTAACATACTTTGGGGGCTGGGTTTTGGTTCTTGATGGATTCCTGTGCATATGCGAGGATGGACCTGGGTTCTAACAGGATCTCTCTGCTTCGTGTCAGGCTAGGTCCCGATTCTTGCTGGTCCCCTCCGCAAACTGTAATGTCACGCTCGTAACTTTGCTGGATCTCCATTTCTATGCCAAACTGGTTGCTGAGTTTTTCCTAGTGCCACCGCCAAGAAACGGGCACTGGTCCCGAGAAGAAAATATCGAAACCAGGCGCGCGTCTCATCAGGATCACACATTTTCATCTTGAGACGTAAATCTAAGGACGAAGCGGCGAAAGGACGTGAAAGAACTCATCCAAAAAATCGTACCAAACAATGCCAGGACGTCTGCCGCCTCGACAGCAGGTTGAGCAAACCTCATCATGCGCAGCGGCGACACCCGAGAGGATGAGCCGTCTGAGCAACTGAGCGGTCGCTGACCCCAGCCTTGAATAGTCAAAGGCGAACGGGTCGTGTACTCACCAGCACGTAACCGTCCTTGGAGCAGGTGGCGAAGTACTGGCCGTTGTGTGAGAACGACACGTGCAGTACTTGGTGGCCGTGGTCGGTCAGCTCGTCTGTCATGTAGCACGGCGTCGTCTCCACGATCCGGCGGTATTCACCGCGCCACGATGGCTGGCCACCTGACGGTACATCACCAGCTCACAAACGGCTGGCCACCTGACGGTACAGCACCAACTCACAGACGGATGGCCACCTGACGGTACATCACCAACTCACAGGCGGCTGGCCA